GTTTTATTAAGAATAAAAAATGAATTAAGTTCATTTAACAATATAGTTAAATAAAATGTAGAAGGTATTCTATAAATAGCATTTTATAGAAATATACAATTATGCAAAGAAATCTAATTAAATTCTACATTTGTATTGAACAATTGAATGTGTATTGAATGAGTTGAATGTATTTGTACAGATTAAAGCTTTGCAATATTATAAGCTACACATAAAAATCTAAAAAATCTCTATAAATAATATAATATATTATAAAAAATAATCACATTTTATAAAGTTCATCTTTTTTCTCTCCTAACTTTTTATTCTTTTTTTTCTGACATCACCCTTTACTATTTTATTTCTAGGAGATCTGATTAATAATTATATATAGGCTGAAAGATCAAGAACAAAGGACTCTGGGTGTGTCAGCATGTACTGGATGTTGTCAAACAGAGCATGGGTAAAGTCAGACCTCTATGGGTACAATGAAGAACTGCAGGTCTGCACATCATGCATATCAGAATGCATGTATCTGTCATGAGGCAAAGACACAATGGAATATAACAAAGAAAGAAAGCCCTTGTTGCTAATTTCATCTCTAAACATCGTTAAGCTCGTATCCTCAATACTTGTGTCTGCTAGACATTTCGCTTGCAGTATGATCTATTTTTAAGACAACCTATTCTCCCTCCCCCTTTTCCTTCTCAGCTACCCTTAAATGATGGCTTTTTTGTAGAATAACCTGACACATCCTGACCAATCAAGACAAATTGAAGTGAAAATTTAAAGGCAAGAGTGAGTGAGAAGGCAAAATATATGTATCCTCTTTCTATCTTTCTACATCTGTATCCATCACAATGTATACTCTGAAAAAAACAAATATGTAGAAACAATTTACAATTTACATTGTTAGTAAATTTGACAGTTACAAAGAAACAGCAAGCAACTAAACATTACATTAAGTAGAAAAAACTAAATCATATCTTCTTGTAAAACACTCCAATAATCGGTTTTATTTACAACTTCAAAATATATGTGTGTATGTGTGTGTGCATGTATGTATATATGTATGTGTGTGTGTATGTATATATATATATATATATATATATATATTTTTATTTTTTTTTTT